CCCCCGGCCACCCACAAACCCCACCTGGAGGAAGAGCTTGTGGGGTTCATCTGTTAAAGCGCCCCAGATTTTAAGCTCTGATTCTTAAGCTTTTCAGTTCCTCAGTTCTTCAATTTTAAAGCTCTTCAATGTTGAAGTTCTTCAATTTTGAAGCTTTCCAGTTTTGAAGCTTTCCAGTTTTGAAGCTTTTCATTGCCCTCGGCCTGCCCCTAAAGGGCTGCTCTTCCATGCTTTTCTCCAAGACAAGCCCCAGTGCCCACACCCACAGCAGGTAAAGAGGCAACTCCACTTACCCTCCTCCAGGGATAGATGTAGGCGATGTCCATCAGGGTGTAATACTCCTTCAGGGGCTCATCTTCATAGAGGACTTCAACCTGGTGCAGGGGACAGCGTCAGTCCTTCAGCATGGGGACAGAGGCAGCAGCAGCCCACCCCCGCCAGGGCTGCTCACTGGGATTTGCCATCCCCAAGGGGGCTGCCGGAGCTCCAGCACTGCTTTTGCTGGAGCAACTTCCCACTTAAGATGCAACACGCAATAAAGGCTGGATCCATCTGGGATCTGGGGACGCACAAAGCAGAGCAAGCAAAGCGGGGTCTGGAGCACACCCCAAGCCCAAGCTCACCTTGTACTTGCTGGGAACATCCATCTTGTTGCGGAGGACATCCCCAAGGGGGCTGCCGGAGCTCCAGCACTGCTTTTGCTGGAGCAACTTCCCACTTAAGATGCAACACGCAATAAAGGCTGGATCCATCTGGGATCTGGGGACGCACAAAGCAGAGCAAGCAAAGCGGGGTCTGGAGCACACCCCAAGCCCAAGCTCACCTTGTACTTGCTGGGAACATCCATCTTGTTGCGGAGGAACTTGGCCAAGTGCATGACAGTCATGGCAGCGGGACAGCGCAGGAACCGCAGCCCGTTCTTCTGGGGACCAAGAGGCGTTGCTGAGCCCATGTGCAACTAACGGGCAGTTCCCACCTCCTGCAGAGGGTGGTTTGGGGGCCCTCCCGTCCCCTCCCCACCCCAAAAGCCCAGGAGGCAGCTGGACGTGGAGCTCTCCGTGCCATGGTCCCACCACACTCACCTTCTCCTTCTCCAGGTCCCCGTTCTCAATGGTCCCTTTCTTCTCTTCTCTGAGGGGAGGAAAGAAAACTCAGGATGAAGTTTACGGAGGCATAAAAAGGCAGAGAGTAAAAATAAGCCACCAGAAGGGTTGACCATGGAGGGGCTGCGAGGGGAAATGTCCAGTGACCTTCCGCCAAGCTCTGGCTTCCCCACCCCTGATCACACACATGCCCGAGCTGCATTCCCTGAATCCCTCTGAACCACTGCTCTGGATGCTGGTGATATCCTTGGAGGCCACCGCTGGAACTGGGGATGTAGCAGCCCTTGGGCTCTGCTGGCTGGGAAGGAGCCTGCCTGGAGAACAGCAGTACAGGGATCCCACTGCCATAGCAAGCACCCAGAGAGGATGCAGGATGGGAGACAAGGGCAGATGGGCCTTGGATGCTCCTCTGTCCACTCAAGCATCCCAGGATACGCTGAGCCCCGAGCAGGGACCATGTCAGCCACCACCTCACATCTCAGAGGTGCCCAGAGAAGCTGTGGCTGCCCCATCCCAAGTTCAAGGCCAGGTTGGACACAGGGGCTTGGAGCAACCAAACCATTCTGTGGTTCCGTGGTCTCAGCTCCATCTCAGGAGCAGGAAGAAAAGATGAGAGTTTACTCACAACCCCCAAACCCAAGGCAGGATTTTGGGAGCAACCAGAAAATGGTACCTTGACCCTTCATAGAACTCTATGGAGAGGCTGACGATCTCATCATCCGTCAGGTTCCCCTTGTCCTGCTCGGAGACTTCCCCGCGATCCTCATTGGACCCATTGGGAACTGCAGGAGCAGAGGGAGGGAGATGCTGAGCCGTGGGGGGGGCACAGCCGAGGTGAGGGGGGTCCCCGGGGCTGACACTCACCCTCTGCCACGGGGTAGGCTGCATAGAAGTCGCGCCTCCTCTTCATCTCATCTGTGGGAGAGGAAGAGGAAGGTGAAGGGGAAACCATCACACCAAGGGGAGATGGGTGTGAAGAGGGGAGCAAGAGGGAGCCCCAATTCCCGAGCGCCTGCTCCCGACCAGCAGCTCCAGCACAAGGAGCCTGGTGCAGCTGGACCCACACAGCAGCAGCCTCCAGGCTGCCGGAGCGCGGGATGGGCACAATCCCGCTGGAGCCATCCCTGTCTGTTCACACCAAGCATTTTCCTCCAGTCCCAGTCCAAAGCATGGGGGGGGTGCAGGGACCAGTCGCCCTGGTGGGTGGGAGGAAGTCACAACGAACCCCAAACCCCCACAATAATAACTGTACCTTTGAAAAGCCCTGGGACCAGTTTGTACACGATGTCCTGAAGGGTTTTGTCCGACCTGAGGTGGGCAAAGAAACAGGAAAAGAGGGAGAAATCGGCTGGATTAGGGAGCACTTTGCTTCCAGGGCTGCTGAAAGCTGCCTGCACCGTGTGCCCCCGGCCAGCCTGGATGCCATTTCCCCCCATCTCCCAGCACAAAGCCCCAACTCCCCAGCCCACGGCGAGCCCAGAGCGAACCCACCCAGCCTCGTGCTCACTGCAAAGGGTTAACTCTGGGAAAGGAGAGAAAACCACTCCAAAAATCCTTGTAATTGCTCGGAATTAGGAGCGCGGGATTTGGGGGCCAGGATCCGTTTCAGCAGTCAAAACAATTACAAAAACACACGGAGAACTTAAAAGGAATTACATCTCCGAGATCAGCAAATGCTCCTGCATGTCTGAATTTGCATCTCATTTGACTTCTAGAGGCGGCTGCGGTTCAGGCTTTGATTTCCCTCTGTTGTAAGGATGATGCAGGGAAGCATCCCCAGGCAGGGAAAGCAAAGTGGATGCTCTAAAACGCGACCATCTCGAGGCAGGAGCTTGCAAAGCACTCAAGGAACTGGGGAAGCTCAAGGCTCATCCTCAGCATGGAGCTGGGAGCGGGGTTTTGCTCAGGACCTGGGCCAGGAAGTGCGTGTGGCACAACTGAACCCCAGCAGCTCAGCCAAATCATGAAGAAATACTCTTCCAACCCAAGCAGGAGCAGTGGGGCTGGTGGAAGGTCAAGGATACCTGCAATCATTCCCATTTGAATAGCCAGGCCTTGGCTTTAAAGAAAACCAAATGACCAGACCCTGTATCATCCGGGGCGATGTCGCCGTGGTCCACGAGGCCCCGCTGTGATTTGGGTTCTAACACATCCCCAGAGAATTCACTTTGTAAGTTACAACAAGCTAATGGAAAAGCAGCCTCAGCTGCTTGACTGGCAGCTGGATTAGCAGCCAGTGCCTGCTCATGGGGGAGTGAAGCCCATTCCGGCAGCGATGTGGGCCTGGGGGACATGGGGGATAAGGGGGACAGCATCCACGGCACTGGTTTGGGAAGTAAAGGGGAAAGCAAGGCCCTCATGGGCACAGAGTGTTTTCTATGGCATCACATCTGGATCAGGCCCACATGTGCCCCACATTGCCCCCCACCAGGACACGGGATCCATCTCTGCATGCAGCCAGGGATGTTTCCATGAGGGAGCAGTGGGAGCCAGAGTGTAAATATTTCATAGTGAAGCAGGAAAAAATAGAAAGGAAAAGGCAGAAAAGGTGTTACTACAGAAACGGATTTGCATGGAAAAGCTAAAAAAAACCAAAAAGAGGCTAAAAAAGCCACCCCAGTGATGTACTGCAGCCTTCCGTGGTTTCTATGCCAACCACCTGCAGAGCCAATTCCACAACTGAGGCATGATGTGTCTGGCTTTTCCCAGCAGGACAGGCTGGTGTGAAGCTGGGCACCCGCACTGCTGCACTGCCACCCGAGGGACGTGGCACCCCTGCAGGACAGCGCAGGGAGCTGGAAAGCACAGGCAGGTCCCAGGTTAAACTACGCCTGGTGGGACTGTGGGATGGATGGATGGATGGATGGATGGATGGATGGATGGATGGATGTGGTCTGGGATGTGCAGGGATGGGCACAGGGCAGCCATCTGGCTCCTGCCCCAGCCCCCTCCGCCTGCCACAGAGATGTCCCTGAGTCCTATCCCCTCCACGGTGGCATTTCCCCCCATCCCATTCCCCTTCCAGCTGGCGAGCACCCCAAATCCCCCCTGCTGCCGGGAGCAGAGGGGTTTCACACTGCAAGAGACGCAACTGGTCCCTGCTCGGCTGCACCATTGTGCCCCCAGGTTGGTGCGGAGCCCCCAGAGCTCACCTGATGCTGAGGAGGGGTCTGGTTTTGTGCACTTGGACATCGCACATGGGGCAGTACTTGTTCGTCTCCAGGTAGCGAACGATGCAGGTTTTGCAGACTGTGGGGAGAGACTCGGGGTGAGCAGATGGCACAACCACCCTTCCCGGGATTTGGGGCACCCCTGGGCGCAGCGTGGCCCCGAGCAGGGGCCCAGGACACTCACAGGAGTGCAGACACTCCACGATGGAGGTGGCGTCTATGAAGTAGCCGCCGCACAAGGCGCACATCAGGTGTGGGTTGAGCTCGGTGATCTTTATCCTGGTGGTCCTGTGCATTTTGGAGCAGCTCCGTGACGGATCCTCCCTGCAGGGAAACACCCGGGGACCCCCTTTAACGGTCGGGATGGGACCAGTGGGACCCAGCTCCCTCTGCCTCATGCCTGCATCTCCCTGGGGGTCCCCGAGTGGGTGCCCCCCCCGTGCTAAAACACCGCTGAGTGGGGACAAGTCGCCCGTTAGGCAGCCCCTTGCCTGCGCGCACACACACGTGCACAAACACACACGTGCACAAACACACACGTGTGCACACGCGTACACACGGTGTACTTCTGGTTTGCTGCCCGTACGCTCCGGCACTTCCATGTTTACAACGGGAGGCGGCGGAGCCAGAGCCCCAAATCACTGCAGTTTTATTGTTTCCATGGCAACCCTGATACTTGGAGAGGGGCCAGAGTATTATTACAACCACGCGAGGCGGGGGGGAGAGGGGAGAAGAGCCCCCCGGGTTTGTGTATGGGTGTGATGGCAGAGCCGGGGTGCGCTGACGGCAACACCCCACGCACCCAGCACGAGGCAGACACACACACACGTGTGCTGTGTGTACACACGTGCTGTGTGTACACACGTGTACCCCTACACGCAGAGGTAAACATGGACACCCCATGGACACCCGCACACAGGCGCTCACACGGGGTCTGGTGGGGAGCAGTGGCACCGGCCGCTTGACACCCAAAAACAGCCAGGACAAGCACCCAGGGCACCGTGACCAGGCGAGGGATGGGGTGAACCCCGCGCCCAGGGAGCCAACGGGGTGCACGTGTGTGTGTGTAAGGGGGTGTAGGGGTGTGTGTTTGGGCTGTACGTGGAGCAGTGTGTATAGGTCCATGCCAGGCTGAGGAAGCTGCCCCGTGCTCCCGGTGCTTCTCCAAGGCTCCGGTCTGGGTCTCTCATCTCATTTGGCCATCGTGGAGTCCCCAGCGGGTGTGCAGGGATGGGGACCCCAGCGACCAGGATGGAGATACCATGGGGGCCAGGATGGAGATGCTGCAGGGATGGGAACACCACAGGGTCTGGGATGGAGATGCTGCAGGGATGGGGACACCATGGTGATCAGGATGGGAAAGCCACAGGGTCCGGGATGGAGATGCTGCAGGGATGGGATGCCAC